CACCGGCACCGTCGCTGGCCAGGGCCATCCGCTCAAACTGTGCAAAGTGCAGCCCGGGCCAGCCCAACTTTCCACCTAATAATACGAACACCGAGCTGTGCTACGGACACGGGGCTTTTTGCCTGTCGATCTCCAGCCGCTGTACAAAGGAGGTCAGCGACAGCTGTAAAATGGGGAAACTGAGGCACAGAACAGGGCAGTGACTTCTCCAGAATCGGCCAGTGGCAGTGATGGGACTAGAACCCAGTTCCCCGGAGTCCCAGGCCAGTGCTCGATCCACTAGGTGAGCCTGCCTCCCCTCCGGCGCTAACGGGACAGGGCTCTCCCTTAGCAGGGCAAAGTGAAGTCCTGTGCCTTGTCACTGCCAAGTAACCAGCCTGGCTCACAGCCCCCCTGGAGAGGAACCCAGCTAGGGAGGGGTGGCCCGCTACCCCCATAGATAAAAGCCCTGGCATGTCTCCACGGCTCGAGTTATTCCTCTGCCTGGAGGCACAAGGAATCCAGGTGTCCCACACTGCTTATGACCCCTGTGCAGCAGCCCTGCAGGGCCGGCTCATGGGCCACCTCTATTCAGGCAAGAGGTCTGCATCACGGTGCCACCCAGCCGTCTGAGTCTGGCAGGGGGTTGGATCTAAGCCTGGACTCTGCTCCCCCACCAGGCAATGGGGGCACGGACTCCCAGGGACCCCCGAGAATGTTGCTGGCCCTGTTGGGCACAGGGGTGTCGTGACTATTGCCTGGACCAGTGCCCGTGAACCACAGAGCTGCCCAGCCCAGCTTTGGGGGCTCACCGGGCTGCTTGCTGTAACAGGGCCTGGGCCGGCCTCGCCTGCATCTTTATTCTCCTCTTCCTCCTCCACCCAGCTGCCTCCGTGCCCCAAAGCCCTGGGCAGCCTCCACCCAAAGTTAATGGCTAACTGGCGGGGCCGGTCCCTGCCCCCGGGGTGCCTTCTGGTGTCTGAGTGGCGGAGCAAGGGGTCGGTGCTGCCCCAGATAAAGCTCTGCGAGCGGATGCAGCGCAGATAGGGTTTCTGATGGTTATCGGGGCCGGTTCAGAATCTAGACACTGATCTCATTGTTAAGAGAAAAACAAGGAGGGTTGTGAGAGCCACCGGGCAGCTGGGGGGGGGACTGAGACACAGCATGGCGCTGTGACGGGGGTAGGGTGACCAGATGTCCCAATTTTATAGGGACAGTCCCAATATTTGGGGCTTTTTCTTATCTAGGTGCCTATTACCCCCACCCCCTGTCCCAATTATTCACCCTTGCTATCTGGTCACCCTAGACGGGGGCATGTGAAGGGGGAGCCATGCCAGGTGGCCAGCGCTCATCAGTCAGAGGGGACTTGGGGCCTCGCTCCTCCCCGATCCCTCCCCAGCATTGTGCCAGGACATAAAGGGAGACAGGGCCTGGGCTGAGCCCTGCTGAATTTGGGGGGATGGGGGTGCAGGAAGGGGATGAGCCATTGAATTTGGCTGCAGTTCGACCAAACCAGTGTAAATGTGGGGGCGGAGGGGACTTCTCACAGGCAGGGGCTGCTCCTTGAACTAGCCCGTTCCCCTCGGTTCTGTATGTGCATGGCTGGTGCTTGGTCCCTCGGCAGCGGGGGTCACTTTGTGTGGGAGTATGGGGAGTAGTTCGTTATTGTAGGGTTACTTGGGAGCCGGGGTCGGAGGCTTACTGGGCTGGGCCACTGGGGTCGGTTTGGGGTCACTGGGCCGGGCTGTAGGGGACGGTTTGGGGTCAGAGGGTCACGGAGCCAGTTTGGGGAGGAGGGTGGCCCAGGTCACGGGGGCCAGAGGGGGGCTGGGCTGGGTCCTGGGGGCCAATTTGGGGTTGCTGGGCTGGGCTTCAGGGATCAGTTTGCGGTTGAAGGGTTGCTGGGCCAGGCCACAGGGGCTGGTTTGGGGTTGGATGGTCGCTGGGCCAGGCCGAGGGTGCTGGTTTGGATCAGAGGGTTCCTGGGCTGGGCCGTGGGGGCCGGTTTGGGATCGGAGGGTCGCTGAGCCAGGCTGTGGGGGCCCAAGTGGGGTCAGAGGGATAGCTCAGTGGTTTGAGCATTGGCCCGCTAAACCCAGGGTTGTGAGTTCAATCCTTGAGGGGGCCGTGTAGGGATCTGGGGCAAAAATTGGGGATTAGTCCTGCTTTGAGCAGAGGGTTGGACTAGTGACCTCCTGAGGTCCCTTCCAACCCTCAGATTCTATGAGTCCGTTGCCCAATACTGGCGGTGACCCCCCCCCCATTTCCATACCCTGACCCGCCTCTCTGACCTTGGGTTGCTCCAGGCATTACTTCTTTTTTTTTTTTTGGAAAAATATATGCAAAAAATTAGGATCCTTTCTGCACCATCAGCAAAAACCGTGTGTGCGTGTCTGTGTGTGTGTGTTTTTATCACGCTAGGAGCACTCTGCTCCTTGCGGTGATAAGGCCCAAACCGACCCAGCCTGTCAGTCGGAGTGTAAGGGTTTAGAAATATTGGGACGAATAATTAGATTTCATATCGTTACCGCAGCAGCCATCGAAGGATCAGGCAGATTTATTTTTTTCCCCCTCCTCTGCTTATTAATATTCATTAGAGACGCATGAAGGCAGAGCTGGTCTGAGGCCAGTCCCGAGCGGGGAGTGGGAGGCGGATACTGCTGAAGCCCTGACGCTTCTCCAGAGGGGGTGCACCCCAGGTGCTCGGGCCTCTTTCTTTCCCCTTCCAGAGGAGCTCCCCTTCTCTTTGTAAGCCCCCCGCCCTTCCCCAAGGGACACGACTCTTGCGGTGTGTGTTCGTGCTCTTCCCCTCCTGCACTGTCCTGGTGCTCACGCCGCCGGTGGCCCAGCGTGGGAGCCAGCCAGCCAACCGGGTCCGGGACGATGCCACGAACCGGTCACCTGGGAGAAGCTGGTGTGTAACTGGTGGGGTGAATAAAGCTGGACTGGAAACATGTGGGTCACTGGAGATGGGGCATCTCTGTGTCCCTCTGCCCATGCCTGACCCTGCTTTAACCCCACTGTCATGGGTGGAAGGGCGCTCCTTGGAACACTGCCAACTAGCTCTGGGGGTAGGGGTCCTGCGTGTCCTGTTGGGCCTTGTTTCTGTGCACAGAGGTGGTGTCTTGGGCATGTTTAATCAGCGAGGGGTCAGCGTGACCCAACCACGTCTCCCCCATGCCCATGATGGCAGGGGGCGGGTTCTACAAGGCAGATGGCTGCCCCCCTGTCACAGCAGAGGGGAGGCATCGGCCCCGGTGCTTCATGGTCTGCTGTTGCCACCACGTGGTCTGTGCAAACGTTATCTCTCCCCCTTCAGATTTACAAGGCCGCGGCACTGCGTGGCATGTGAACCCGGTGCCCGTCGCTGTCTCCACAGGGATGCGGAGTTCTCTGTGCTGCCCACCCCTGCTAGCATCCTGCTAACACCAGGACAAGCGAAGACAATCCCTCCCTTCTCCATTCCCCTTCCTCCCTGCCCCCGTCACTGGCGCTCCGCCGAGGCCAGGGGTGATGCGAGTGTTTCCTGCGCAGGGGGCATGCGGGATTGCTAGACCCCGAGTTAAGCAGGAGAGGAAATAACATGCTTGTCAGCGCGAATGCAGAGCACGCCAGCAGCGTGTGGGGCCCGAGGGGCGGCTGGCCAGCGGCCTGGCCGGCACACCGCCGTATTGCTGATGCCGTAATGGCAATGGGCCAGGGGGAGGGGTTGATGTGTATCCATGTGCAGCACAGCTGGGTCATGCACGGACATACGTGAAGAGCTTTGAGGCCCCGGGCTCACCTCGTGGGACAATCAGCAGGGCTGGCTCTGGGGAACGCAGCTGAGGTCGATCAAAGGGGAGGGGTTCCCCAGCCGCTCTGTGGGGAGGGCGCTGCTGGGAGCTGAGCCAGGAGAGCGGGGCCGAGAGGAGCCTGCTGACCGAGTGGAACGAGGGCGCAGGTGGGGGACTCGGTGTGGGGGCTCCACCCTTCAGTGCTGGGGCTGTCCTGATCCAATGCTCTGAGGCTCCTGCAACACGAGAGGACCCCAAGGACTCTCAGGCCCCGCACATCTGTCCCTGTGTGATGCTGCGGCAGCGACTGGCTGATGCAAATGCTGCGCCGTTGCTGAGTGGTGACCTGGGCTGGTGCCTGGCTGCATCTTCGTACCCAGAATGGCTTCAGACCCAGCTACTCGGGGCAGGGCGAGGTGGGGATCCCAAAGGTCTGGAGAACGGAGGGGCCTGGGTCAGGAGTGACTCTCGGGGATCGGTGCCATTCGGCCCCCAGACAAGAGGAGCTCGGTGGGGGGCAGCGTGCATGCGACAGCTCATCCTAGGGCTGAGTTCTGCAGCAAGTGGCGCGTACACGGGGCACGCGGGGGTGTCTTGCATGTACATGCGTGCGTGTATCCAAGCATGCCCATACCCTACCGTAAATACTCTTGTAGACGCTGAAATGTTTGATGCAAACAAGTCCAATTTTGAGTGGGTCAGCTGGGCAAGTCAGTGCCCCCTCCCGACCGTCTCCTCCCCCAGCCTGTCTCCTCTTTACCCGCCCCCAAGGCGTGGCCTTGTCCTGCTGCTCCGCACCCCCAGGTGCCTGGGGCTGAGCTTCCCTGGGGGTGTTACAGTGATGCTGGCAGGTCTCTGCATGCAGAGCTCTCCAGGTCCCTATGCTGGCCTGGCCAGTAGCTCTTTCTCCCCCACATCGATCTCCACAGAGCCCCTGAGTGCCTCTTCCCACACCTAGGCACCCCAGGAGGACTTGTGACAGCAGTTCCCACGTACAGCCTTGCAGTGCCCAGATCCTGCCAATCTCAACGCGAGACCTATGCTCCGCTCCTGGGGCCCTTCCCTCCTTCCGTGTGTCCCCCACTCCCAGGACCCCCGTGGCTGGGCTCTTACCACTGGGGCACAGGCGAGTGGGTACCCCACAGAGGTAGCTGGGTCAGGGCTTGTTTTGCTCCATGCTGGGATGGATCAGCGACAGCCCTGCATTCATTCGCGTCTTCTCTCCTGTGTTTCCACTGTTGACAGAGTCCACTCGTGACACTGATGCTGGAAGACGAGCGCTGCTGGCTGTCCAGGCTGCCCCTGGTGTCCGGAGAAGCCGACGCCAACTCGGTGATCTACAGGAAGGGTTGGTATTATATTCGCTGGGTAGCAAGCCACCTGGCCTCTTCTTGCACCTACCACATCCTGTCCACTGCGGACCTTTTGCGTTTAAAGGGCCAGCATCACCCTGAAAATCAGATTTATTCCCCCCCACAAACACAGTCCTTCAGGCCAGGCTGCAGAAAGTAATTGGGGCTACTGCTAATCACGTCCTGCCCGTGGCTTGGCTCAGGCAGGCAAATGAGCCCCCGTCAGTTTCACGCTCTGGTTCTGGTCAGTTTCACTGGCTGGTTCCCTGCTCCAGTCCACTCTCTGCCTGCGCAGATTCGGGCTCCGTGCAGGAGGGCGTCAGCGGCAGAAAGCTGGCTGAGAGTGGAACTACTGATCCGTGCTATCGCAGCCCTGCTCACTAGGCTGTGCCACCGGTAGCCCAGCCCGGGCTCTGAGCGGCCCCAACGCAGCGTCCAGCGTGGGCAGGGAGCACGGCTCAGCTGTGCCCAGGGTGGCTGTGTGTGGTGCCAGCCACATGGCCACCGTCCTCTTTTACAGAGCCAAGGAGCTCGCTGACGCGCGGCCTGAGCGCGGCTGGGACGGAAGGCTCCTGGGATGAGAGGCGGCTCGTCTGTACAAGTTAGGAAGGGACAGAGCTATTAGCTCCCATCTCTCCCCCATGCCCTACATCAGTCTCCCCCACTGTCTGTATTCTCCACTCCACGGCTAGAAGTCCTGGCATCCGGGCAACTGTTCCCCTGGAGAGAGCCCTTCCTGATGGCTCCCTTGCATTAATGCCACCCCTTGGTCTGCAGGCTCTAGCCCGGGCCGTCAGGCCATTAGAGGCTGGGCAGGGAGAAGTTCCGCCTGAAGTGTGAATAGGCCACTGACATCAGCTCAGCCTCAGCACGTGCTGACATTGCCACCTCCAGGCAATTGTGGGTATTACGAGCTACTGTACAAAGGCCGCCAAAACCCTTGGCGTCGTTGAACTCACCTCTCAGCGCTCGGCAATTTGTCTTGTGCGGACGGGATCAGAGGGTAGAACTGTTTTCCCAGAGCCCGTGCCTTGTGCTGGGGAGGCAGCTGTTTTGCGCCTTTAAAACAATCTGGCGTCCCTCATTTGCACGTCGTTATCCAGAGGGCTTTGCAGCCCCCGGCTCCTGCTTCATGGGCTCGCTGGCATTGGAGCTCCGAGCACACAGAGCCGGAGCAGCTTTGGGGGTGCCCACCCTGTTGGGGTCAGGCAGCCCCTGCAGTCACACTCGCCAAAAGAAGCTTGTTGGGGGCATCCATCCTCATGCTTCAGGGCATAAGTAGATCATCAGGTGGAGTCAGGAAGAAGTGTCCTCTCCTTGCACAGTGCTACACAGTAAGGTGCTATATGTGCTGGATTTACCCTTTCCTCTGGGGCATGCATTGTGTGCTACATTGGCCAGGCTCTCACAGTCATTGCACCATTGATCTGCCCCTAGGTGGAGAGGTTTTCTCTGTGCTCGTCTCAAGAGCGCACATCCCTTCCCGGCACTGAGGCAGAGGGCACTGGGGCGGGGCGATGATGCTCAGTGCCCCTGTAACCAAAGCTTTGCCTTCTAGGTGAATTGATCTGGTGCAAAACCACCCAGGCCATTGAGGAGAAGGAGCTGCTGAGCACCTTCGTTATGGCCGAGCCGCAGGGCCTGCCGAACCACACAGTGAAATCAGAACCCGGGGACTCCACCTACCCAGCCACGCTGCATTCGGACATACAGCTTCTGCCCCAGCAGGCAGGCATGGCAGCCATCTTGGCCACAGCTGTTGTTAACAGTAAGTCAGCAGCTGCCACCAGGCAACCCTGCGGGAAACGATCGGTCCTCGGCCTGGCTCCCGGCAGACGCCTGTCTGCATCACAGAATTCACCACCCCTGGAAAGGGGCTGTGGAGGGAGAAGGCCAGCAATATGGGGAAACAGATCATCCCCCAGCTTCATGCCATGAGCAGGGTCTGCTCTGGGTGCTGTTCCTAGCTCTGCCCTAGGCGATGCTTCCCCTAACACATGCTCAGGGTTTAGCTGATTGCCATATTTGGGGTCCGGAAGGAATTTTCCTCCGGGGCAGATTGGCAGAGGCCCTGGGGGTTTTTCGCCTTCCTCTGCAGCATGGGGCACGGGTCACTTGCTGGAGGATTCTCTGCATCTTGAAGTCTTTAAACCACGATTTGAGGACTTCGATAGCTCAGACCTAGGTCAGGGGTTTGTTACAGGAGTCGGTGGGTGAGATTCTGTGGCCTGCGTTGTGCAGGTCAGACTGGACAATCATAATGGTCCCTTCTGACCTTAAAGTCTATGACTCTAACTGGGCCTCAGTTTCCCTATCTCTAAAACTGGGTGGCACCTACCTCCCAGGGTCGGGGGTTGAATAGGGTCTGGGCAGGGCTCTGAGGCTGGGGGAGGCTAGAGAAGTACCTGCTTGTGTGAAGTAGCATTTATTTAACCCTTTCCACTAACTCCCGTCGGAAGGAGCGTGTCCCAGGGAGACGCACAGCCAGCCCTGACGCTGGGCTGTTCCCTAGGCAGGCTGCTCCATGACCCTGCTGGGCCCACCATGGCCAGGATCTGCCCTGGGCTCGGGGCAGGGGCCTAGTGATCACCCCTGCCCTGCTCCCCTGGTTTGTGGTAACGCAGTTTCCCCTGGCAGAGGACGTCTTCCCCTGCAAGGACTGCGGCATCTGGTACCGGAGCGAGCGGAACCTGCAGGCCCACCTCATGTACTACTGCGCCAGCCGCCAGAACTCCAGCTCGCCCTCGGTGGACGAGAAGCCCAAGGAGGCGTACCCCAACGAGCGCGTCTGCCCCTTCCCGCAGTGCAAGAAGAGCTGCCCGAGCGCCAGCTCCCTGGAGATCCACATGCGCAGTCACAGCGGTAAGGGCACCCCCTGGCAAGGGAGATGGGAGCTTCAATCCAGGCTGGGGGGCCGGCTGGCTCGGGGGCCTGTGAGGCTATGGAAAGCCTTTAGCCTCCGGATCGTTGCGGGCAGGATCAAAGCGCAGGTCTGCGGGCCGTGAATTCTCCTGTTCCGCCTCCTGCTTTGTTCCCTAGCAGGGGGAGAGAGAGACCCATGTCAACCCCTCGCAGCCCGTGCTGTCACTCATCCTCCCAGCCGTCGGCTGGCGGTGGCTCTAGCCGTTCCCAGCCCTGGCTGGGCGTGAGGGGTGGGCAGAGCCCTCCCTCCGGGGGGAAGAGGTGCCATGCTAGCGTCGCATGCCAAGCGTGCCGAAGCCCCGTGGAGCTGGGTGGAGCCCCGTCATCCCCGTTCGCAGAGGATTATGCTGAGATTTGGAAATTCTCTGCAAGCCAGAATTGTCCTTTCCCGTCCACCGGCTGTGTGACGGCAGCCTCTGGCCAGGGGCGAGGGCAGCCAGCCCGTGACCCCTCTGCACCCCCAGTGACAGCTTCCAGGGCTTGGCTCCCACATGCAGCCAAATAAGCAGCGAACCCATCGCATCCTCCAGGGGCAGGGTGGGGCGGCCCCACTGGGGAGCTGTCAGTCATCTCTCTGGAGATGCCCCACCACTGCGCGGCTGTGTGTCCATCTTTAAGACTGGGACCTCCCAGTCGTGCCCCTCAAAGCCCTGAGACCCGCACGCCCGCAGTCCCCCTGCTCCCATTCTCTCCCTGGCCGAGCAGGCTGCACTGCATTGCAGCTCCCCGCTGGGCTGGGTTCTCCGTGCTCAGGCTCCGGCTCTGATGGGGGCAGGGGGGCAGCGTCTGGTCTCACGCCCGTCCCTCTGCCTTTCAGGGGAGAGGCCGTTCGTGTGCCTGATCTGCCTCTCCGCCTTCACCACGAAAGCCAACTGCGAGCGTCACCTGAAGGTGCACACGGACACTCTGAACGGTGGGTCCCTCGGCCGGGCTCCGGGGCGCGGTGTCCCCAGTGGCCGGCTCGCCGCAGCTCCGTCACCATGCAGCAGGGAGCGGCACGCTGAGGCTCTGCTTACCGACGGGCTGGGGAGGGAGCCCAGCTTGGTGGGAGCAGGGTGTCTCCCGTTCAGACCGGGACTCTCCCCAGCTGGAAAGACGGACAGTGCGGTTCCCCTGCCCCAGGGCTCGAGCCATGCTGAGTGCCAGTGGGAATGTCGACCCTGCAGACAGACCCCAGCTAGCAGGGAGCCCGGGTACGTGCTCGAGCGGCTCGCTTAGGCTGTGCCTTCGGAGCGAGCTCGCCCCAAGGCGCGCTGCCATCACGGCCCCTAGCTGCAGCACGGCCAGACCCCCGGGCATGCTCGCGGCTGCTGTGAAGCTCGCTGGCAGCAATGGCCTTCACAGCTCTTCCTCTCGCTGTCGTTCCGGTGACTGCAGGCATCTGCCACAGCTGCGGCTTTATCTCCACCACCCGGGACATCCTGTACAGCCACTTGGTAACCAACCACATGATCTGCCAGCCAGGCTCCAAGGGCGAGGTGTACTCCCCTGGGCCCGGGCTCCCAGCTGCCAAGCCACTGACACCAGGTGAGTCCCCCCGGGCTGTGTCGCCCCTCTTGTGCCGGGCCCTGGCATGCCCAAGGGTGGCAGAACTGGCCTTAGTCTGCCAGGGATGGGGAGCCCAGAGGCATTGACGGGCATCATAGAATCATAGAATATAAGGGTTGGAAGGGACCCCAGAAGGTCATCTAGTCCAACCCCCTGCTCGAAGCAGGACCAATTCCCAGTTAAATCATCCCAGCCAGGGCTTTGTCAAGCCTGACCTTAAAAACCTCTAAGGAAGGAGATTCTACCACCTCCCTAGGTAACGCATTCCAGTGTTTCACCACCCTCTTAGTGAAAAAGTTTTTCCTAATATCCAATCTAAACCTCCCCCACTGCAGCTTGAGACCATTACTCCTCGTTCTGTCATCTGATACCATTGAGAACAGTGCCGCTGTTAAACTGCCTGGCCCCTAGCCAGCCTCTTCTCCAGCTCTTCCCCAACTCTCTGGGAGTAAGGCTGCTGTCTGGTTGTGTCAGTTGTACCCAGGGCCGCTGGAGCTTCTGGCTTGGGCTGGGGTTCCCAGGCTGGAATTGCCTCATTTGCCCCATGCCAGTGGGGACAAAGGGCTGGCCCCAAACTGGATCGAAAGTGCATCTGTGATCACCCCAGATGGTGGGGGTTGTTTGTGCAGAACCTCTCTGAAATTGAAACTGACTAGCGAAGCAAACGATCCACACAGGTGGCCCTGGGAAATGGCCCCTGCCCTGCCCTGCCCTGCCCTTGTGATTCCCTACAGAGGCTTCCAGGGGACAGGAGATCTGGGACTGGTGTCTCAGCTGCCAGGCGCGTTTAACCGCAGGGCTGACACAGACTCACAGGGCTCGAGTCACCTACTGCTGGCACAGGGGGTCATTTGCCCCTGCCCCACCCCCCCAGGTCCATGGGAACTCTGGCGCCCTGAGGCAGAGTTGGCCCTGGGGCAGGGCAGACGTTTGCCATCCAGACAGGCGCGTCCCACAAGCCCCCTGCTTGTGCCCCTTGCTAGGCAGAGCTGTCTGCTCCAGGCCCCCAGCAGGTAGGGCTGGGTCACTGAGCGCCGGGCACTCACTCCAGATGGGATCCGGCAGGGTGGGAGGGAAAGGGGTGAGGGAGGAGACTCTCCTGGCCCTAAGAAATGCTGCTGTGTGGGCTGGGCCTGTGGTTCCTGCCCTCTGAGGGGGCTTGGGCAGGGCATGGGGCCTGTTCTGCCTGGCCAGGCCCTGTGACCACACTGATCCCCCCATTCCCTCCCCGCCGACAGGTCCAAGCCAGCCGAGCGGGACCCCCATCCTGAAGTGCAGCCTCTGCGGCTCCGTGGCCGACAGCCTGGCCAGCCTCCGGCAGCACATGGTCCTGCATGGCCCCCTGCCCGCTGTCCTGGGAGGGGCAGAGCCCACACCGGCCCTGGCACAGCCGGAGTCCCCTGCCAACGCCCCGGCGGCAAAGCCGTGCCCGGCGGACGAGCTGGAGAATGGCGAGGCCAGGCCCCCGCACACAGAAGGCTGCCCCTCAGCCTTGTCTTCCTCGGGCGAGGTGGCACCACCCCTCAGGATCAAGGAGGAGCCCACGGACAGCCCCGGAGGGGAGGTGGAGGCGGCCAAAGGCAACCCCCTGGCAGAGCCGGCTGCCAGTCCCAGGTCGGAGCCAGAAGCCTCCTCTAGGGCCTCGTCCCCGCACAGCCTGCCCTCGGTGAAGGTGAAGTCGGAGATCGCCAGCCCCACGCCAGGGTCTAGCCCGGTGCCCAGCGAGCCAGGGGTGGGCACAGCCGGCGGCAACGTCTTCCTGCCCCAGTACATGTTCGGCCACGAGGCTGCAGTCGTGCCCCAGGCCTCCGAGATCCTGGCCAAGATGTCGGAACTGGTGCACAGCCGGCTCAAGCAGGGCCACGGCACGGCGCCCCCGGCCCTGTACCCCAGCACCCCGCTGCCCAAGGGCGCCACTTGCTTCGAGTGCGAGATCACCTTCAACAACATCAACAACTACTACGTGCATAAGCGGCTCTACTGTTCCAGCCGCCGTGTGGCCGAGGACAGCCCGCCCGGCGCCCGCAAGGCCAAAGCCACGCCTGCCACGCCCAAGGGCCCGGCCACGCCCGGGGCTCTGCTCTCAGCCCAGCCCCCCGCTGCCGTCGAAGGCCCGGGGCCGGCCCCGCAGGAAGGGGAAGCCGAGAGGGACGCCAGCCCGCCTGCCCCTGCCGCGGAGGCCAAGCCGGAGATCAAGGTGGAGGAGGGCTCCCCCGAGGCGGATGGGGCAGGCCGGGCCAGCGAGGACAGCCAGAGCCCCAGCAGCTCGGTGGACGACGCGGACGACGACCCCAGCAAGACGGTGTGCGAGGCGTGCAACATCCGCTTCAGCCGTCACGAGACCTACATGGTGCACAAACGCTTCTACTGCGCCTCGCGCCACGACCCACCCCTGCGCCGGCCCAGCGCCCCCAAGGTGCCCTTCCTGCACCAGCCCGTCCGCACCCGCAAGCGCCGCAAGCTCTACGAAATCCACGGCGCTGCCAGCCCTGCCCTGGGACCGGCCCACCCCCTGGCTGAGCAGCTGGCCGGCGCCACGGACCCGCTGGCGGGGGGCACCCGGCCCGAGGTCCCGCCCATGCTGTCAGCTCTCATCTCTGTGGCTAAGGTCCAGGGCGCTGCCCCCTCCCCCAGCTCCAGCCCCGATGCCGACGGCCCCATTGACTTGAGCAAGAAGCCACGGCTGCACGGCGAGGTGCTGCCCGCCTCGCTACTGCCCCTGGCGGACTACCACGAGTGCACAGCCTGCCGCATCAGCTTCAACAGCCTGGACAGCTACCTGGCCCACAAGAAATACTACTGCCCCGCCATGCCCCTCCAGGCCGGCACCCTGGAGCAGCTGCACAAGATCAAGGGGGCCGTGCCACCCCCCTTGAAAGGCCGGGGCAGTGGTGCCCCTGAGAATCCGGACATGCCGGGCGAGGAGCCCGATGGGGTGCGGGTCAAGGTGGAGAAGGCGGTGTCGTCGGTGAGCCCCGGGGTCCTGGTGGCCAAACCGCTGGCCCTGCCGGCCACGTACCCCTGTGCCTCCGGCGTGGACTCCGTGCAGCGCTACGGCACCGCCAAAGCCCTCCACCTCTCGGGGGCCAAGGTCCCGTTGGCCGTCTGCCCCTACTGCCCACTCAATGGGGCCGTCAAGGGAGACCTGATCGAGCACTTCCGTAACGCCCACGGGCTCTTTGGAGCCAAGCCAGGGGCAGGCCCCGGACTGCCAGAGGCCGTGGCCCAAGCTGCCGCCAGGACACAGGCCGGCTGCGCTCCAGAGAGCAGCCTGCCGCCTCTGCCCACGGCCTCCCCGCCCCAGCCCCTCGCCAGGCTCCGCAAGGACAGCTTAAACGGCAAGGAGCCCACCGCTTCCTCAGCCTCCAACGGCAGCCCCCGGCCCGCAGGCTCCCCCCGGCCCAGCCTGCCCCTCTCGCCCGCCGCCCCTTTGACCATGTCACCGGCGCCCGCGGCTCCGAGAGAGCCTGGGCCCACGCCCGCCGCCCCGCCCGGCTCCACGGACAAGAGCGTGCAGACCGCGCCCAGCAAGGCCCTGCCCAGCCCCAGCCCCAACGGCAACCACAGATACTGTCGCCTTTGCAACATCAAGTTCAGCAGCCTGTCCACCTTCATCGCCCACAAGAAGTATTACTGCTCCTCCCACGCTGCCGAGCACGTCAAGTGAGCCCTGCCCCAGCCCAGCTCGGCAGCCTGGCAGGACGCCCCGCGGCCGTCACCCGCCGCTCACGCCCCGCAGCCGCTGGCTGCGGCCCAGCGATGGGTTGGAAAGCAGGACTCGCCCCAAGCCAGGGCCCTGCAGGAGGCTGGAATGGGGAGGGGGGTGATTGCACAATGGGTACAAGTCAAACGGCTCTTCTGAAAGTATCCCCTGAGGCTGAGAGAGGGACACACCCGGCCTGCGCTGGACCCTTGCCCATGGCTACCCACTGCCCCCCGTATGTTACAGAAGCTGGAGGGAGGGAGTGTTCCCTGCTACCGTATTTTTGTGCTCTGGGTTGTATATGTCTAAAGGCAGCCCCCCCTCGCCCACCTTCTCCCACACACACCCGCCCACAGCAGGGGTCTCGTTCTGGCTCGGTGCTGGTTCTGCAGCATGGGCTGCCTCCCTGCTCCCCAGCCCTGGTCGACGCGATTTTCTAGGTTTGGGGGCAAATTTGCAGAAATTCAATTCTCTCCTCTCCCCCCCCCACCCCCCGGTGCCAGGCTTTGCTCCAGCCTCTCACAATCAGCATCCAACGGGCGGTTTGGCACTTTGGTTTGGAGATGGGAAAACTGAGGCACAGACCCTCTCCCGAGGTCACGCAGGGAGCCTGTGGCACAGCCGGGAGGCAGCCCAGCTCCCCTGACTCCCAGCCCTGTGCTGAGACCTCCTGGCCAGTCCGGCTCGTAAATAGCCTGTTGGAATAGCAGGGAGTGTTGGCAGCACAGGGCAAGGGGGTTTGAGCAGAAAACCCTATGCCAGCTTGTGTCCCTCGGGCCCAGAAATCCTTAGGGGGAGCACCAGCCTCATTCTCCCCTTTGCCAATCCCTTGGCCGCTGGCTGAGAGCCTTGCGCCGGCATGGGCAGCTCAGGGAGGCTGCCTGGCACCTTTAGAACAGCACTGGGCATCCCCAGGTGCCAACTTCTTCCACATCCAGCTGAATGCCTCTACCGGTGCCCAGTTGCTCACCCACTCTGTGTGCAGCCTCGGTCCCCGGGCTGTGCCCCTGGGCATGGGGGCAGTCCTAGGGCACGTCCCCGTTGGTGGTGGAATCCGGCTCCCAGCTGCCCTTGGGGCCCCAGTGGAGTTGGTGGAAGTTTTGCCCGGGCAGAACTGAGGCCTAGGATGGGGCTGGAGGTATTGATGGCTCTTAGCTCCTGCTGGGGTGAGGGCAGGCTGGTGAGAGCGCTAGGCCGATCTCTCAGAGCTAGCAGGAGAGAACAGGAGTCTGGGCAAATATCCCCCTCCCCACCTGCCTGCAAATTCCCTCCCTTCTGTAAGGGGCTGCCCTGGCCAATGCCACCTGCACAGCACGGCCCAAGCAGTGGTGCCTGGATTCTCCTTTCCGGGAGCCCGGACAAGGCCATCCAAGGATGGTGGCTCACAGACCCCTCCGGCCAGGCACAATTCCTCTTTGGATCCACCCTCTGGGTCTTTTCTCCAGAGCTCCCTGCATCATGTGTGCACCCCTCTCTCATCCCCCATCGAGCCTGGGCCCCGGGGGGCGTATGTCAAACCGACGGGGACTGGAACAAGAAACAAGACAGCACTGAAGTTGAGAATGAAGCCTACACATGGGAACTTGTGTGTATAAGCGTGTACATAAATAAATATGTCTAATGAACCCGTGTCCACCTGTGTGTGTCCAAAGGGGCTCGGACAGCGTGCTCATGGATCACCTCCTGGGCCATGTGCGTTGCCCGAATCGTTTGGTGTCTGAGCCAGAGCGACAGAGGTCAAAGCAGGGCTTGGCTCTTGTGTTTTTAGCTGGAGTAGCCCCTGGTTCGGTCCCCAGTGTGTTGGCCAAGCAGGCAGCTGTCACACCTGCCTGTAGAAGTGCCCCGGGTGGTGTCCATACCTGGAGCAAGGCTGCCCTCAAACCCAGACGGGGGCTGTCTAACATGCCTGCTCTTTGCACATATATAGGTGGGGAGCATTGATCACATGACACTAACTCTTCACCATGTGAGCGGTGCTGGTTACCCCACAGCACTCGAACCAGGATGGAGGAGAGGGAGCTTCAGAGCCCCCGTGAGTGGCTGCCACTGGGGAGGGAAGGGGCTGCAACATCAGCAGGGATGGGAGGGCAGAAAGCACCTACATCCCCAGCCTTCCAGCAGTTAAAGGAGGAGGCCCGATGGTTTAGATCCCTTTGAAAGGCATTTGATCACCGTTGCTGGGATCCTTCTGCCGGCTTAGCAGTAACGGGTAGAGCTGCTGGCAGGGGCAATTGTACGCACTCCCCTCCAGTGCTGGAACGCCAAGGCACTGGATGAGGCGGGGTTGGGGGAACCAGACAGCGATACTGATGTGAAACAGGCAGGATGAAACTGACTAGGGTAGGGTGGCTGGCCCAGATGCTAAATGGGGAGGACCTTAGAATCCTCAAAATGTGCCAGCAGAACCCCAAAGCCGGGCAGGCAAAGCATCCTCCTCTGAGTCCAGATGGGATCTCCCTTCCTCCTCCAGCTGACTCTAGGGGTTAGCTGCATTGCCAGCGAGAATGCGCTTGTTTCATTTTTGCAGCTACAGCCTGATTTGTTTGTGCAGCACTGTCCGCCTTCAGGGCCTGTTTTGTGGGGTGAGGGATTGCTGGGCTGGACGCCGCCCCTTCCAAACCAGCTCACGCCCCTGCACAGCCTGCCAGGGCTGGGCCAGAAGCTGCCCTTGCTGGAACGTCCCTTCCACAAGCTCGCTCTGCTATGACCATGGCCAGGGATGTGCCCGCTCAAGCCATTGTGCCCAGTAGCAGTTCACACTTCTGGCCACAGGGTGGCGGTTAAGTCATGCCAGCAGGAGGGCTGGGGGCATGCTGGCATGGTCGTAGCTGGGGCGCGTTTCCTTATCCCCCCATCCAGCGGGCGCAGGCCCTGCAGGATGGTGCCTCAGGTGGGGCTCAGGCCCACTATGGCTCGCGTGCATAGGTAGGGCAGCATAAGTGGCCTTAGCTAGACCTCGGCGCTCTGCTGCGGCAGCCAGGGGAAGGGACGGCTGGCCACCCCCGCAGCCCATTGCCTCTTGAGATGCTGTCCCCTGCCAGGAGGCGGGCTCGGCCCTGGGCTGTCTTGGAGTCTGTGCTGCAAGCCCGGGTGCCAGGGCAGATGCAAGGCCCTGCAAGGAATGGGGCAGGGGTGACCTGCACATACGTGCTCCCGCCTTGCTCGCTGACCAAAGGGAGTCTTTTGGGCACAGCCTCCCACGAAGGGCGAGCGACAGGAGAGGGCAAATGCTGCTCAGGGCGCAGCTCAGACGGCTGGAGGAGAGGTGGCTGAGAGAGAAACAGGTGGCTCTTCTAGCTGGTGAGGCTGCGGGACGCGGCTGCTTGGGGAGGGACAGAGAATCGGCTGGTGCCAGGGAGCTGAACAGAGACAATGGCTGGAGACTGGGGTCGTGCAAACCTAGCACACCTGCTCAGAGTGCAGCTCAGCGCCAAAGCAGGGAGGACTAGATCGGTGCCTCAGCCGTAACCAACCTCCTCCCTGGGCTGAGGGGGGCCTGGCGCCATAGCTCAGGGGTTAGAGCAGTGGTCTCAGAATTCAGGGGTCGCAGGTTTGAATCTTGCTGGGGCCACTGTATGAGTGCAGCCCTCTGGCAGGGCTGCAAAGAGGTGACGCTTGCCCAGCAGCGGTCCTGACGGATTAGCGGGGTTCTCAAACAGGGGATTGCCCCCCTCAGGGGTTGTGAGCTGTTACATGGGAGGTCGCGCTCAGGGCCTTGCTGTGTGAAAGGGGTCACCAATACAAAAAGTTGGAAAACCACTGGATTAGACCCAGGGTGCTGCAGACCTGGGACTGCTAGAGGGAGCCGTGGGCTGGGATCTCGGAGAGCAGGAAGAGCTGGTTTTCCAGCTGGCAGGTGCTGAACTGGGAGCTGCGCGCTCTTGACCATCTAACCCAAAGGATCCAGCCGAGTCCTCAGCCCACTGCATGGGCCTGCTCACAAGGGCCATTGCAACAGGCCTCTGGAGAGCAGCTGTTCCACACAGGGAATCACCCCAGGGCTGATTAGCCAGCACTCGCTCCCCCCCGTGAATAGGCTTTTGTGGTAAAGAGCAGGGCACCACAATACACTTCCCCTTCACACACACAGGCGGAGGGAGGGCTGAGTGGCAAAGGCAGGGGGGAGAGGAGAGGAATTCTGAGCCCCTGCAGGGCAACTTGTGCAGGTGTTCTGGGTTTGTGCCCATCCGCCCGCACGGCCGCCAGAGAGGGGTTTGCATTTGGATGGTAATGGAGCACTAATCAAGGAGCGGGGAAGAGGCAGGGGAGATAAGAGGGGCTCAGCCCCAGAGGGAGGTGCAAAGGTCCACTGCATGATCAGCACCGGTTGCAATTCCCGTGTTTGTCCTTCCCTGCTCTGGGGCAGCCCACCTCTGTGTGGACTCGCTTTTACCCACCACCGCCTGCCCCAGGAGGTGCTGCCCGCGAAGCGGTACCTGCTCCCAAGAGGTGCTGCTGGTTAGGGGCTCTCACTGGGATTTTAGCCCCAGCCCCAGGTGGAGGGAATGAGTACCAGGGTCATGGCTGAGGGCACAGGAGATCAGGATCCAGGCCTGTTGGTGGAGATGGGGGCAGCCAGGGGGAGGGAGACTAGATGTGGGCATGGTGGGGGGTCTGTTAAAAAGTAGGGGACCAGCCAGGAAACAGCCAGCGGCATGGCCTGGCCAGGCCAGGCCAGGCCAGGCCATAGGATGAGCCCCTAGGAAGGGAAGTCAGGGCCGGTTGAGTCACAGGCCAGCTGGTCCCAGGGCTGGACGCAGGTAGGAGATGATGGGTGCAGGTTCCCCTCACGGCTGCACCCTTGTGAGGTGGCGCAGTCACCCTGTCACCAGGGAAGGGCCTGGTTGGGGCCCAGAAGCGCTGGAAGCCAAACCCAGGAGAAGGGGTGAAGAGGCCATGAAATGAGGACAACCATTGCGGGGAGGGCTGTGCCCGGTGAGACCCAGGGAGGAGAAGACTGGCCTTTCGGACTCTACCAACGCCAAGGCCTTTGCCAAAGGGCTCCTTGCCCTAACGATGCTGAGAGCTGGAGGGCCGTGGTGGGAGGGGAGCCAGTGAATTGACTGGGGGGAAACTGAGGCAGCAGATGGGCCCAAAGCCAGACCAGGCCGTTCCCCACCACAGGGCCAAAAGCAAAACCTGCCACCATATTGTTCCACTCCGTGGTGTGGGTACAACAGCCGAGGGAAGGGCGTGGTGCTAAAACCCTCTCTCTTATGCTGTGATAACGTCCATGGGGGGGGCGCTTGGGTCTTTGCCGGGGGTGGGGTGGGGGACAAGTAATTTGATTTAATGGCAATATTAAGTAGCAAGGCCATGGCCGGACACCACCCGTGCGTGTCCTGTCCGTGGCTGGGTGGGCCAGCAGCCCAGGTCCAGGTCCAGGTCCAGGCCCAGGGTGGCAGGGCCGGCCCGCCCGCCCGTGGTGAGGGCTCGGGTATGCTAGCAGGGCAGCGTACGCGTCTCCCATCCCCGAGTTGCTGCCAGCGCAACACAAGGGTCGCACGACAGGGCAGGGGAGCAAAATCCCCCAGGCTGCGACTCGACCGGACAGCACCACGCATCTGCTCGCAGGCAGAGCAGCCGAGGGTGGAACAGGGACGGGGCCCGCTTGGCAGCCAAGGTAAGTGGCCAAGAGCTGGTGAGCGCACCGGCCATCTTGTTGCATGGATTTAAGAAAATATTACACCTCTTTATTACAATGGTGCCTACGGGGACACACACACACACACCCCTGCTGTGTGAGACACTGTGTTTGTGCCATGCATTAGACAGCCCCTGCCTTCGAGAGCGGCCGATCCCAGCCCCCAGGGTGGGGAAAGGGGGCGTGCACACCAGCAGCGTGAACCATGGGATGGCAGCCAAGCGCGTGGTCCCATGAGCTTTGGGGGGTGGGTTTCGGTGGGAGGGGCTGGCGAAATGGCGAGGAAAGTGAAGGGCGCGGGGACCGGGAAGGGACGAGGGCGAGGTTCAGAGGAGAGACGCTGGGATGGAGGGAGAGGGCTGGAGCAAGCTGCTGATCGGCCCCGGGCAGCGAAAGGGGAGTTTGCCGAATGGCGGAAGGGCCCTGACGTACTGGATTACGGAGCCGTGGCAGCAGTGAATCGGAGGCGCCGAATCGACCTGCGTGCACTCTGAGCGCTCAGAGGCCTAGGTGGCACCCGTGGTCTGTGCCCGTGGGGGTCATTGCATCCACTGCCGCCTAACGCAAGGCCTGGCAAGGCCTGAATAGCACCACTTTCCCGACGCCAAACACACGGGCTGCCCCCCACATCCCGTTGCGGTGCCTTGCTGGCTCCAGTTAGCAGGGGGATGAGCTGAGGCCAGAGGCGGGGGGGGGGAATATGCCCATGCAGGTCATTGACGGAGCTGGAGTAGACCCCAGGCTTCCTGAGCCAGTCCCCCACGCTAACCACTAGGAGAGCACTGGGCGGAGGCAGCCCGGCAGTTACTGCCCATCGCTGTTCCGGCGGGACCCTTGGCCCCTGCTGGCCCAGGTGACAAGGCCCCTAGGCAGCCTGGTGCTGATGTCACAGGGATCTGGTTCTAGAAGAGCGGGCCATTGGGAGACACTGGCTGGACTGGGAGGGGAAGGAAGCCGCTCCCAAAGACTGGGGAAGGGCGG